TTTTTTTCTTGTTTATCTTTTATTATTATTTGCTCTCTTTAGATAGAAAAAAAAAATTGCACGACAGATTTACATTTAGTAATAACAGGCTATAAATTGAGCATATAACTTAAAAAAAAATACAAAACTCAAAGAAAAAATAAATCAAAGTGTGAGGAGCCCACAAATAAATCAATAAAGATTCCAAAATATTTTTTAAATTTTTTTATATAAAAAAGGGACTCGTTTGGCCAAATATCAAACTAAAGTGGACATAAAAATTATGGGCAAGATGTATGGGTATGTTTTGTCAAACACATCCTTAATAAACATAATTTGGGTTAGCAGAGCCTAAAGCCCAAATCCAGTCCACTAATTACCTTCGCACTATTTCTTGCAATAATTACACAGAAACAAAGAGAAGAAGAAGACTTTACCTCGTGAAGTCGAAGGCAAAGGTAACAGTGCAGACATCGATTGAAGAATGCTCTCTTCCTTCTCTTTTCAGTCTCTTCTCCCTCTGTTCTTGTTTTTTTTTTTGTTATCTCTTGTAATTGCCTCCTCTTGAGGTTTTTTATGTTTACCCCCTATAGGGTTTTCTTTATCTTGTCTCTTTTTAGGGTTTTTTTTTTAATTTTTTTTATGATGGCCTCTCTCTAAGTTTCTTCTAATTGTTCTCTCTTTTGCATACACTGAGATTAGTATTTATAGTGCAAGAGTTTCATTATTTGTGAGAAGTAAAGTATCAATCAAACTTATTCTTTTTTTTAAAGTTCAAATTATAATTGAATTCGAAAATAGGCAACTATCATTATATTTTAAAGGTAAGGATTATGTTAAAGGCAGGGATTATCTTAAAAATAAGGATAAAATGACAAAAGCACATTGTAGTCCCTAATTTTAGTGCAAGCTCATTCAAATAAATCTTTGATATTTTAATTTTACATTTTAAACCTCATAAAAATTAAATTAAAAACTAATAGGCCAAAATTGGGTTACAACAGAAGATATCAATCTTTTAGTCATGTCACTTGAGCATGCAATAACATCAAGTAAAATATCATAAAATTAAGATTGCGATATTATGTCATCATGCGATCTCCTTGTAATTTATGTAGTATCATTAAATAATGTTAAATACTAATTTTTTTGAATAAAATACAATTAAAAATAAAAAAAATTAAATTTTTTACTAGGTTGGACTCAATCAAATATATTTAGATTTAGGCCAGACTCGTTAGATTATGAACAGTGGATAGTAAAACTCTCCATTATCAAGATGCAGGAGAAGGAGAGAAGCAACTCTCAGTTGCTTTCGGCAAACCTATGGTTTCAACATAAATTATATAAGTCTCACATAAATAATAAATTAAATTTTAACATTATCAAGTATGGTATTTGTACAATTTATTTTAAAAGTTAAAGCTGCAGTGTAAATAAATACCCTCTAAATCAACGAAAATGAGAAATTTAAGTAAATTAAATTTTAACATTATCAAGTATGATATTTGTACAATTTGTTTTAAAAGTTAAAGCTGCCTTGTAAATAAATATCCTCTAAATCAACGAAAATGAGAAATTTAAATTGAAAATGCATTCAAAAGTAGAATATATTATATGTATTTTTTATTATTATAATGAATTGTTTTTTAATTTATTTCAACTAATAAATAATTAATTGAAAAATCGATTAATAGCCAAATTTTTTTTATATAATTCAAGCATGTCCCATGAAATAAATTACTAGAAATTTGAAAATAAATAAAAAATCATAAAAGGCCAACCAAAAATAAAATAAAATGGATGGAGCTATTTACTTATTTTCTCCCATTTAAAATTACAACGTACAATAACTGTTAAGAACTGGTAAGTAAACGATTGCAAACTGGTAAGTAGTTTACTTTTTACTTCGTAATATTTATTCGTAAACTTAAAAGCTACTGTAACAAAACGCCAACTTCTCCCGCGCACAATTGCACACAAAAAAATCAAACTCCACTATCTCTCTCTCTCTCTCTCTGGCATTTCATTTCTACCCTGCAAAAAACCTAATCCCCCCAAATGGCATCAAATCCGGCAACTATAGAAGATCCCAGTCAAAACTCCAACACTGACGAGGAAACCATCGCTCTCAAGAAGAAACGGTCGCGGCGCGTGAGCTTCGCTGACCGCGAAATCACTTCCGTCCATATCTTCAACCGCGACGATGAATACGAGACCCCTCCTGACCCCCCTTCCACGAAATCCCCCATATCCGACACAGACGATGAAGTTCGTGCTTTTTTCGGTGACCTCGCCGATAGCGATGATTCTAAAGAAATATCTTCTCCCACTGGTGCCGATGATGACGATAACGATTATTCGATCAATTCCAGGAAGTCGTTTTTTCGGCCAGTCGAGTCGCCGTCTCCGGGTGGCAGCAGTATCGTTGGCTCTGCTTCTTGTAACGATGGTTTGTTCTATTTTTATTATTATTTGGTTTCAATTTTACTTGCTTTTTTTTAGGTCATTGTTGTTTGAATATTGACTAGCAAATTTTTTTGGGGAAAATGTTGAAGAATTTTTGTTGCCGTTACATTTTGTAGAGGACAACTTTTTTGGGCCTGTGTCAGCGAGTTTTATTAGAGCTGGAAGATTATCTGATTCTGGTGCATCGGATTGTAATCTTGATGTTACCATGGATTCGACTGCATTTTCAATGCATTACCGAAGTCTTGTGAGGTCAGTGTCGGGAGAAGAGTTTAAGACTCCCACTGAGGTTCGTGTCGCTGCGGAAGAGAAAACACCTTCGAATATTACCACCCCTTCTGATCCAGGGAGTTCCATGGTACTGACACAAGAGAAGAAGGTAACTTCGCAGAATGTTTCTGGTTTTGTGCAAGGTAGTGGGGGTAGAGATTCAAATGATATGAGTCTTGTGGGAGAAAACTTGAAGAGTTATGACTATGGGAAACTTTCTCCTGGTTTGGAAGCACTTTTATCAGAAGCTATGAAGGAGCCGCAAGCGGCTTCTGGTTTCCTTTCTGATTCTAGTAATGTGAAATTGTTGGAGAGGAGTGAGGTTTCTATGTTTGATGAGAATGAGAGCAGTTGCATGGATAGAAAGGATTGCGAAGATATAGAAGTTGGCAAGTTTGACATGCTTGACGTATCTACCAAGGGAGTATCTGTGGCCAGCATGGAATTGGATGAGGCAAATGTCATTTCTGTGAGCACCAATGCTGGCCAGTGCAGCACACCTGATAGAACGCAAGGTGTGGCAGTGGATGCATTCACTCATCACCAAGTACAAAGCCCTATTCAGCTAAGCAAAGTGCAAACTGCTGATCAGCTGGGTGGAGTGCAAATGCCTAATCAGCTGAGCAAAATACAAACTCCCAATCAGATGAGCATATTACAAACTCCTAATCAGATGATGCCTGTAAGATTTTTCTCTTGTGGGTTGGATCCTCCATTTCGCTGGTTCCTTCATTTGTATGAATTCAATAAGTTAATCTGCATAGGTGGTCTTTTACAATTAGTGGCCTGGATTTGTTCTGTAAATTCTCTGCATGATCTTTTCATTTTGTCTTTAAGGGTTGAGATATGATTACGTGGGCATGGTTTCGTTCTGGACAACTCTTGGCAACCATTTCTAGGTGTTTAGTTGGTGTTTCACAGACTGTGTTGAGGTGGTTTCGCTATTGCATTTTCTCTAAGTGATCATGACGATTCACAATTTTGCTTAACATTTACTGATATGCATCCTTGTCTTTTACAAAATGAAGATGGTTGTTTATGCACAGTTTTCCCCCCCCTATTGTAGGTGAAGGACCACAGTAAAGCTGCAATTGCAATCATGCACAGTTTCCCCCCCCCTATTGTAGGTGAAGAAGGACCACAGTAAAGCTGCAATTGCAATGGATGTGGAGTTGCCTGATGCTAGTGTCGGCATCACATCTAAAATGGATACTCAAGTTTTGAAGCTCAATTCATTAAAAAAACATGAATCTGGACAGCATTCAGCTGGCATTCTTAAAGATCATTATTTTGAGGATAGAAGAAATCAATACAACAATGATCATAATTCTGATCAACAACACAGTTCCATATCTTCTTTGTCTGCTAAAAGAAGGCAGGAGATATTTTTGGATGCTTCTAATTCCTGTAGACAATTATCATATGCGACTCCTTCACCGAAACAACCAGATTGCTTTTTAAGCAAGGCAAACTTAAAAAGCAGTGGGATTCAGCCTTCTCCCCTTGTGTCTAGTTTGAAAGATAGAATTGAAATATCAAAACTCAGATTGTCAAAGTTCATTTCTTCTGCAACTTCTTTCAATTCAGGGGTGGAAGAAAACAACAAAGCAGATAAAACTAGCAAACAGGTGGATTCCCCAGTTATGAACTTAGAAAAACATTTCTCTAGCATTGGCCCGAAGGACAGAGATCATGAGAGGTTAAGGTTAAGGAACATAGTTGGCTATGGTACTGTGGCTCCAAGTGATTTTGATAATTTGACTAACAGTGGAGGAACTGTAAGCCTTTCAGAAGATGGGGAATCTCTTATGCACATGTCTGCATGTATTCTTTCCAAGGAGAGGGAAGTCCGACCACATATTTTGGCCAAGAAATCCGACAGGACATCAGTTATCCCTGAATCCTCCTCATCAGTGGAGATCAAAGTGGATTTCACAAATCTTCTGAAAACAACCAATGCATCTGATAATTTTGTTTCTCCTCCATTGAAGGTTTTGGATCAGGGGTTATCATCAATACAACATCAAGAAAGTCTCTCTGGCGACATGAAGCAGCAACTGACATTTGATGAACCTGTTAGTGTTGGCTCCAATCAAGACAAGAATTCAGTAGGTAATGTTTCCATCAGTGCCCATGCCACTGCAGTAACTGACAAATTGTTATCATGGTTTGCTGAAAGGAAACCACAATCTGGTTCACTTCTTGATATTAATTATTCGGAAGACAGTTCGCAAGTGAAATGGGTGGATGACAGGCAGGGTTATCTTCAGAATAAGCATGGTGCATCTAAATCTCCAATGAACTTCCAAACTCCTTTGAGGGAGAGGGATGCCTCAAATATTCATCCAGTAAGGCCAGACAGGAATATCCTAATTGTTGCTCCTGACCTGAGACATTCTGAAGAGGAACTTCCCGGGGAAAGAAATAAATCTTCTCTGTACACTTCAGCCTCCGTCTACAGTCCTAAGAATGTAAATGGCTCGTCACTTAAGGTCATAGAGCTCTCTCTCTCTCTCTCTCACACACTCACACACACACACACACACACACACACACACACACACACACACACACACACTGAGACACAAACACGCTCACTTGGGACTCCATTATTTACGGACCCAGTTTCCTGGACAGGATATTCAGAGTTCTTCTGGTCGAAAAAGAAGAATTAGAGAATCAGTTCTTGACGATGCAGAACATGCAGAAGAAATTGGGAGGATAAAAAGGAGCCCAGAAAATAGGAATCCGCATTCTGATATGAAGTCCATGCTGGAGTCTTATGAAAGCATCAATGATAGGGAGGTGGTTATAGATGGCTCGACAGTGAAACATTGGACTGATGTATGTATAGATGTTACTATACCCTTATATTATTGTACCTGCTTGTGGTCAATTTATCAATAGTCGAGGTACCATTTATCATAGGTGTGAATTCGGTCTTGCACCTTGTGGTTAGGCCCGATTTCACCTTTTATGTTGTGGTTTATGCTGTGGTGTTTTCTTCCCAGTGGTTTGTTCCATTACTTTGTCCACAAAAGTTAATTTGTACTCTTTAACATTAAAGGCGGTATATTTTTTTTTGTAGATTGACCACAGGAGAAACAGTAAATTTTACTGCCATAGAAGTATAAATGAATGATAGAAATGCATGACTTTAATCACAAAAACTAGGAGATTTTTTAAGAAAATCATTACTTGATAGCAAATAGATAACGGAACAAACCCTTGAGGAGTGTTATGTTATTCAGAAGACACAAGGTGGCACAACACAAAGAAGGCATTGGCACCGGGGCCCTTTCTTTCTAGCTTGTTCCAATTTTAGTGTCTACAATACCACAAAGTAGTTTGGTATAATCTCACCCTTTATCTTTTGGATTCTCTCTAACTTTGTTAACACCTTGCAGATTTCACTAAAATTCTCGGGGGACACAAAACAGTTGCTCTCTCCATCAATTGATAAGCTAAATATTAAAGTGGTAATGTAGAATTTAAAATGTAATAGGCATTGGTGATCCCCACATTTTTTCCTTTCTGCATATACCTATGTGATTATGTTTCTTTTCTTTTCTGTTTCATTATGTAGATTGGTGTGTTGCAAGATATTTTGGTTCACCTGCAGAAGGTTAAGAAGTTTGAGATGCTTTGTTCCCAAATTCAGCCTCAGCCTCAGGTATGCATATTAAATTAACTCTGACATTTTATGGTTCTAATTGGTTCTTTGGATGCTCAAAAAATCTAGCCCCATCATTTCTTCTTATGAAAATGATAACAAATCAAGCTAACCATTTGCCTGCTAACACTGTTTTTCCAATTGGTTCTACAGAAAACATGTGATCTGTCCAGTGAAGTTAGGAGTAAAAGGTGGCTACTCATCATGTTGTTAATATGTCATGGATGCGGATGGTCATTGGTTCTTATATTACTGGATGGCATGGTTTAACATAACTGCTTACAATGTTGAGTGGATGTTGTTGCAGAATAGATGAAACAAGATCGGTGCTTTCCAAGTTAGTGTTTGAAAGGGCAAGGCTACAATTAATGTCTGCCAAGCGTGAGAAACTGCTGGTATGTTTCCTCTTTTGTGTTTTCCATTCTTAGGGTATCCATATCCTTAATCCCCTGCCTAGTATCTTCCATGCAGAAAAGAGCACGGCAACTGAGCTCTGCAATTCAGGAATCCAAGATTTTGAAGTCCAACAGTATCTGGCAATTGTCTGTGCCTGGTGAAGTTGATGATAATCTTCAAAATTCATGCGTGGATAAAAATGGAAGAAAAATAGAGGTATAAAATCGATTTTAAGATATGCATTGATTTATGTGCACTATATGCCCTTCAGCCCATGAAGTGCACTATTTATCACTTTTGTTTTGTTATTTCATTTCTGTATGCACCTTTTATTACCCAAGAGAAGAAAAGAAAATGAGAATGATTCAAACTTGGTGCTCAAATAATGTTATGGAAATTTCTCATGATATCTTATAACACAAACAAAGAGCTTGCCGAGGAATTAATGGGAACAACCTGCTTTCTGGAGACCTAAAATGTCAGTTTTTGGGTCTTTTAAGAACTTAGATAGCAAACATTGAATACTTTCCTCGTCAGCTGTCACCAGATGGTGAAAATTGTTCATAAGAATAATAACAAGATCCTAATAATAGCAAGTATTACAAAAATAGAACTCCCAAAATAACAAAAAATATCACAACTAATAAAATTGCAAATATTTTGAAAATTATTCTTGTTGTACTGCACCATTCTCATCTGGATGGAGAAAACTCAATCCTCCAATTTAAAATGTTTGAGAAGTACCACAAGTTTGATTCTTTTATCCAAAGCTTGAAGTTGCACACACCCTTGAACTTGAGATTAACAGTCCTTGGACATGCTTGCAAACAATGATGGCAGTGGCAATTTTTTTTTTTCAACCACGGGACCATTAAACTTGCATGGAATAATGAAGTCAATTTGACCAAACAACTTTCTCTTCTTCATCATACATCTTTAATGGTGGAACCTACATCCTCCAGCATAATGGACCTGTACTTCAACTTGATTGATGTTTCTTCTTGATGCTCCTCGTGAAAAACTTGATACTTTGTCAATACCATTCACCATGATACCATAGTTTTGAGTTTGTTATTGAGCCAGAAACTTTCCAAGCATACTGTTTTGAGCATGTTGAGTCACATAAGCCTCTCAAATGTCATTCTTATCTCAACCCTAAGGTGATACAGTCCACTCTCAAGATTTGCGTTCTCTCTTCCAAATTTCTGTCACCCATGACCTTTCCCCCACCCCATCCCCTGACACTTTTCTTATTCTGTTTTATTATCTAAGATTTGTTTTCCAGAACTTCAATTATAATGCCTTAATTGGAAAAAAAAAAAAAAGGACAACAAGAGCACTGCAGAATTAGATACATTGAACAGTGGCATCATGCCCTTCAAACAAAGGTCATTGAAATTTTGGAAATTGCAGCAGCAGAAGATGTTTGTTTTTTGTTGCTTGGACTGCAGTGATGGTAATTTTCTTTTTGGCTCAATGGTTCTTTCAGGGTTGGGATTGAATATGGCTCTGCTGCCAAAATTGATGTAGGATAGGATAAGGTAGAAAAGAAGATATATAACCTCAAATCCATGAAGGAATTACTACTGTTGAATCCACAAGAGCATATAAACAAAGAGGAAGATCCACCTCTCAAAGTGACTACACAAAGTCTTCATTTAACTGATGATGATATCTTATTATCATTCATGAACCACCTTCAGATACAGTGCATGATGCTTTATATGCATGCAAAAAAGCCCTAGAAGAGTACTGACTAAATAGGGAATAGAATCTTAATAATAATAAAGTCATAACTATAATAAAACCCTATTACTGCAAATATTACTATAAGAATACTTCCTAAATAATAGAAATACCTCAGGATTAATAAAATTAAAAATATCTTGAAAGTTATTCTTCTTGTACCGCATCATAGTGTTTTGTCCCCTTTTGAGGCTATATGGTTAGTGCATACCATTTTATAGGATAGATGTTCGTACTCCCTCTGTCCCATGAAAATAGTCCAATTTGATTAAAAAGAAAACAGTCAGTCTTAGCAAACATTGAAAAATTATTTGAATATTCCATAATTTTTAAATCCATGGCTGAAATGACTCATAATTAATGTTTTAGCTAAGTGCATGAGGAAAAATTATAAAAAATTGTGATTGGCCAAAAATCCAAATTGAACTTGCCCAATAGACTTGATTTGCTCCCATTCTGATTGCATATCAACTTCACTTCAAGTTTCTGAAGGAGATGCTCCTGTTATTGTCTGGCAGGATTCCGATGAGAAAGTAATCACAATGAGGCATGAAGCTGAAGCTTTAGATAGGAATATAAAGAGTTTAACTAAATCTTTCCATAGTTACTACAAAATGAAAGGCGAGCAAAGCAGTGGCGAGACTATTGCACTAGTTAATGATCATCTGAAGAGGAGAACCTCTTGCAGGTTCATACGCAAGGATTTACAGGTCTTTCAACTATTGTAATGACCTTTGTTACTGCTTGAATTTAAATATCTTATTTCATTGAGAGACAAATCCTGTCATCTATCTCCTCAGTTGTGGGAAGTTGAGGATCTGAGGAGCAGGAATGGTCAACTAAATTTTGTGCTCAACTACCATGACTTCATCAGCCAAAGGTTCCTTCTTTTCTGGAACGTTTCTCCTGGTTGAAAATCTGTTGTTGAGATATAAACTGCTTATATACTTGAGCGTGTTCTTTTGTTTTATGAAAAACAGGTTCACAATAAATGCTGTTCCCACCCGTAGTATATCTATTGCAAACCAATTGAAGCACACAACCATCATGAAGGTAATCAAGTCAAATTGTATTCTATATGTTCAATTAATTTTCAGTATTTAATCCCAAAACTCTATGTTTCTTGTTCATTAGATCTTCCCTAATATGGATGCTTGTGTAGCATTTTCATATGCTCTAAATTCTGAGACTACTAAGAAGTATGCGAGCTCCAAAATTCTGGCACAGGAAACACAAGTACGTCATGGTATTATTTTTCATTCAATTCTTTTATATCCTGCATTGAGACTCTTTGGATGCTATTATGTCTTTTAGCTTACACGGAAACTTCCAATCTAATTACAGCTGAAATGTATGCCATGTGCACTTTCTGTGTTTAATTTTCTTTGCTTCCCATCTGGGTTATTCTTACAAGTAATTGATGTTTTAAATCCTTAACTATTATTGTTGTGATGCAGGTTACCAGTTCACTATTGCATAATCTACTAGATGTGACTGAGGAAGTACAGCAGGCACAAATAGAAATCAGAAATCTGGTTAAGACAAGCTTTTCTTCTCCATCTGGTATAAACACCCCCCCCCCCCCCCGGTCATCTCCAATACCTATAATCTGGTCAAATGAATTATATTCTTAAGAAGAAGGTTGTCTGCATTACATATTGCAGCACTAAAATCAAATCTTGAGTTATGGTTCCAATATTGAATCTGAGTGTCAAATGACTTTCAGTCACTACAGTTGCCATGAACAAGATCAATTTAGCCTTTTGAATCTTGATGAGTTGTGCTTGTGCAGTAATCAATGCCCCATACTTGGTATGGAAACATGCAAATCAATATGCATTACATAGCGATGCACTCTTTGTTTTCTGTTAATCCTGCTGCCTTACAAGGTGACTAGGTGATCATAGAAATGTTTACGTATTCAACACATGCATCCTGGTTTCCTATAATCCTCTAGTGATGATTATCTTATTTGTGTAAAATTTATTTAATAATTGATGCATTTGATTCATCGAACCTCCTGTATCTGTGTGATTTCTTGATTGTTTATGCTATTTGAACATGCCAAAGCCATAGAAGCATGTGCATTTAGTCTGCTCTGCTTGGGTATGGTATATTACATATTATTATTATTTATTTTTTTTGCAGTTGAAAAGCTTGATTTGCTGCTTTGTTTCGTTGATTTTAACACTGGTTGGAAGGTGGTGGTGACTCTTGACATGACATGTTTGAATCGGTAAACCTACTTGTTCATTCCTTTTTCATATGTGGAAAAGGTCTTGCAAACTTCAATGCACTTGCTTAATTATATTATTATAATTGACAATAGATATAGAATATTCTGTATGTAAAAATAAACCACATTTTTATTTTTATCTAGTTTTGCATTCCTACATGTTTAGTGGAGAATACTTTCAGCTGTTTACTTTCTGCATGTCTCATCTCCTTGTTGGTCTATTTACGCAGTGTTGGTCTATCATACAATCTTAAGTAGGTCCTAAGGGGGTTAGTCTGTATAGAGGCTTACCCTTCTGATTTTTGTATCAATTGCCTACTCCCAAAACTCAGAAGAAGTCCCAGCTGGGAACCTTTACCATCATACCAGATCAAATAAAGATGCTATAATTTTAGCATGCACTTGTTTGCTTTAATGATGTGTGTATTATTCCTAGAAATAATTTACTAGTAAACCTGCATGTTATGTGAGCCCAATAATTTGACACGATTTTGGTTGGTTTGATCTTGTAGTTTTGTAATGTGATTCTTATGTGGTACTACTTATCATCAACAGGGACATCATAGGACTTATTGGCTAATCTGCTGAATACACTCGTTTAGATGTGTCAATCCTCCATGTAACAGGAATGTTAGCTTTTAGAAAATTAATCATTTTATCAACCTTCTAATAATTGCAACCATTATCTTTGTGAGAGCGTTGTTGTTGATGTCCATGCTCATTCTGTTAAAGTCACAATCAACTATAAAAATGATAATGAATTGACAACAAAGTGAAGTGAAACAAAATGAGAGTTTACATCCCAACCAGGAGCTGAGCTTTGTTTCACAGTACGCATCATGATTGAGAATGCAAATCAGATTATTTACCACAAAAAAAAAAAGCAGATCATTTGAGTTGATTGTTGTGTAAACTTTAGTCCAACCTGTTTTAGGCATTTCCATGAAAATGTTTTGTTGTGAAATGGTAAGGGCATCTGTCATTTCTTGTATTGGATTTATTTTTTACTACAAAGAAAGTTTCATAACAAATTATGCATTAACTTCAGCAATTCTAGTATTGGGAAAATAAATGAATCTAAACATGTAGCGTGTGGCCTGAGATCACTACTTTCTCATATACCACTTTGAGGAACTTGGACCTGTAGCGTGTGGCCTGAGCTCACTACTTTCATATGCTGTCTTCATTTTTAACAACATTGCTACTCTTTACACAGGCATTTACTGTATGTTTAATGATTGTGTTGTCTGATAACTTGGTTTTTGAAACAGTGGAGTTTATCCATTAGCAGCTGTTCCATATGAGTTACAAGCTTCTACTAATGGAACACACAAGTTGTTGCCCGAGTCACTCTCAGCTCAAGTAAAAGCTGCTGTTGATAATCTTAGAATCGGCTTTTCAAGGATTGCAAGGCTTTGCAAATGCATTTCTCAGGTGATGCAATCCTTAAGCACTTGAATGCAGTGAAGGGTCCATCTGTATTCTGTACTTACTTTCTGGGTGTTCTGGTCAGTTTGCTGATTTTACTATCATATCATTCTATACCTATAATCATTAGTAGAGATGTATTGTTCACGATTATTTGGTGCAATATGGATGGAGCGAAACTTCAGAATATTTGCATCCCTATCACGCCCAGGCAACTTCTGCTGGGACAATATATAATCTTTGGTGTACAGTCAGGGTCCATTAGAGGAGTCTTTCTACTTGATATCTGCTGTGATGGGATAGGAAAGGATTCTGAGAATATGTGCTATATATCTAGATGCGTGAACTTTTATTCTGTTTTTCAGAATTCTAGCTGCCTTAGGGGTGGAGATCTATTTAGTTCCATTCCTCTGAGATTGACATCAATTTGTTATAATTTAGGCTGTGTTTCCCTTGCTGGTGAAAAGCAGTGTCGTTACAACAAATGGACTTGTTGACTTCTAGTTGCCGCCTTGTTGCAATGAATTCTAGATAGCCCAAGGACTAGTTAATTAACCCCGACTGCTCGGTCAGCAGTTAAAAGAGATAACATTGGATATTCATGGTGTGGTAAACACTACCATTACAGAAACCTCCTCAAACCATGGTAAATATGTGGGCATGCAATTAAGACAGTATTTAATTTCAGGTAGGAGCTTAACAGTAGATAGATTTTGTGAAGTCTAATCTAAGTCTGTATACAGAAAATTTTTGGAGGGATTAACAGGGTACTTGTAGAAGATTGGAGGAGATAACTTCACTTGTTTGGTGCATGCATAGAACATGGCAAGAAATAGTTTGGTGTGTTGGACATCCTTATTTTGTCCAACCTCTGCCTATAAAATACCTATTCTTTTTTTAAATTTCTATTTAAGTACTCCATCTTTAATTATTTATTTGAGCTGCTTATCTTTTATAATTTATATGTCATGGTGGCCTTGATGAGTTTCATCAAGGGAGTGGTGACGTAATTGTTGAGATTTGAAAAAACAAATTTATAAAAAAAAACATATTGATAGTTTTTTTTTCTTTCCTGGATTAGATGTTTTTATAAAAGGGGTATTGATAATTATCCCAATGCTATATAATACTTTTACTTTTGTAATCACAGTTCTATTAAATTTACTCGATATATAGTAAAGGTATAATTTAAGAAAATATATATTATAATTAAAAGGTATTTATGTAATGGAGAAAATTAGAAATTAAACAAGTTTTCATAAAGGATTTTTCTTGAGAACGATAAAAAATAGAGAACAAAAGAAAGCCATTTGAACGAATTGTTTTTTTAAATAATTTGGAAAGTACAATCAAGCATGAGCTCTCTTGGAGAGGTTTTTGTTTGAGAAATCTTTTGGGAGAAATTTAGAGTTGTGTCTAAAAATTATGACAACATTTTGATCTTTCACGGCATAGAAATGAGATGTAGAAATAATTTGAATTATATTTTCATTTTTTATTAATTACATGAAAAATGCAATCATGGGAACAAATCGTACACAATTGAAGATCACAAAGTCCAACTGACAAAATTTACAGCACATGGGTAAAATTGAACAGAATGGAAGAACATAAATGAATAAATTTAAAGTATAAAGATAAAGCTGCATAATTGATGTAATAGCTCCCAGTCTCCCGCATCCTCTCCTCGTTGAATTTGAGTTGATCTCGATTAGCACTCGTCTTGGACTGGGTAGGCCTTGCAGGTCAATCAACAATAACTGATTGCTGTTGATTGTGTGCAGCAACTCTCTAACTCTGTGCAGTTCTTATAATTTTACGAGGACAATTTCTCTTTTTATGGCTTGAATCCCTACAATAAAAACATCATTTCCCCAGATACTGGTAGTTCCTCCAACAGTGTCCTTTGCCTCTACAAATATAACACTTACCCAGTTGTCGAACAATCTCGAGGGTGTTTCAAGTTACATCTCCCGCACAATGGATACACAAGTCCCCTCTATGTAGAAGACCCCTTTATAGCATTCTCTTTGTCGAGGTGAACCTCTTGAGGATCCCCTACCAGTAATCTGTCTGGAACCTTCGGATTCTCTATCTACAATAAAACTCCCCCTCTTTTGAAACTAGTTGGAAGACTGCTCGCTCTTCCCCTTCTTCAGTAGAGGAGGACTGTTGATAGAGTTTATAAAATCTCTCCTCTTAACCCCGGCCGTCTAGCCCTATTCACTCACCGATCTCGGTATGTCCCGAAGTACTCTCTCCATCCCTTAAGCAGCCTGTACCAATTTATGGATGGACTGAAATCGCATCACTATCAGCACCATCTTCAACTCCTGTCGAAGCCCATCTCAGAACCTCTTTACCAGATGACGCTTCATGGGGAGATAAGCAGAAATGAAGATAAATAAATAGTTAACGGGTTGTAATTGAATTTTTGACATGGCCAACCCAATTTTTTGCATTCCTCTATTTTTTCTCAAACTTGATTTGGTTCTAACCCTGGATCAACCCATTAGGCTGAGTCGAGTTTTAAAACTATGGCTTTAACATGTGGTTTTTTTTCCTTTTTTTTCATGATTTGTTTTTTAAATTTTGTCAATTTTATTTTTTTAATATTTAGATGATTGAGAATTTAACTTTATAATTTGTTTCTTTTTATTTTTTTATATAATGTTAATGTGGTTTACGAGTTTGCTAAGATAATTCAGGTTGCTCTTGTTTATGGTTTTGGTGGAGTGTTTTTTTTTTAATTAAACTTGACTTTTTTAAAGTCTATTTTTTTTATCATACAGTTAAAAAAATTAATTTTAGAGAAAAATCATATTATTAAACTTTATAAAGTAACAAAAATTAAAAGGTGTGTGGAAATTAATGTTTACCCATAACTATTATAATCTTTTTGTTTCCTTTTCTTTTTGAATTTTTTAATGATTTTTTCTCAAATTTACTTTTGTCAATTTCATCAATTAATATTAAGATAATTCAGAATTTAGCTTTATAATTTTTTTTATTTTACCTTTCTATAAAATTAGCATGATTTGCAGATTTGTTAGCGTAACCTAGGTTGCCTTGGTTTATGGGTTTGGAGAGGGTATCTTTTTTTTAATTGAACTTGACTTTTTTTTTTATTGTCAATTTTTTTCTCATATAGTTTAAAATAAATTAGTTTAAGAGAAAAGTCATATTATTAAACTTTATAAAGTCTATGAACTTATTCACAAGTTTAGTTGGTTGACCAGGTTCGCGAGTTTTACAAGTTTAACTATTTTTTTTTTATTTCATCCTTAAAAATTAGGTTAATTGGAAATTTAATTTCATAATTGGTTTCTTTTTGCTTTTTATGAGGCTATCGCAATTTTAAAAAATATATCTCGGTATTGAGTTGGTGTTTGATTTTGTAATTGTCTATTTTTTAATATATAATTAAATAAAAAATAGTTTAGAAAAAAATTATAATCCTAATGGAGTCTGTAACCTAGTTTACAGGTTTGACGTGTTAGCATGAGTTACCTGATTCACATGTTTGGCGAGTTTACCCATTAATTGAATATTTTTTTTTTTTTGGTATTTTAATTGTTTTTAATTAATTTATTTTTATTTTATTATTCAGTATTAGATTGGTTAAGAAATAGATTGCATGGTTGATTCTTGTTTGCTTTCTATAAGGATAATTGTCTCAAATAAATGTCTATATTTAGATTGGTGCTCGATTTTATAAGCATATATTTTTATCACATAATTAAATAAAAATAATTTATAAAAAAGTCATCAAACCCAGTAGAGTCCATGATCCAGGTCGTGGGGGGACCAAGGTCAGTCCAATTTGTTGTTGTCTCAATATTAAAAAAGAAATTGAAGTTGTTTTTAAAGGTAATTCATGTTTTTACTGATCATAAAACTTATTAGACCCATGAAATCGATTGGTTTAAGTCGAGCTAGCTCTAACATGGTTTAATTGAGAATTCAGTTTCATAATTGATTTCGTTTTGTTTTCTACAAGGTTATTGCTATCTCAAAAAATACCTCGGTATTGAGTTGATATTTGATTTTGTGATCATCTATTTTTATTATTATATAATTAAATAAAAAATAGTTTTTTAAAAAATTATAATATCAGTAGAGTTTTTAATCTGATTCATGGGCTTAGCTTGCCAACCTATGTTACTCAATTAATAGGTTTGACAAGTTTACCCACCTACCATATATATATATATATTGGCTTTTTATCTCTCTTTTGTTTTTAAAAAATATTGTTTGTCAATATTGGTTTGGTTAGAAAATAGTCTATATGGTTTATTTTGGTTTATTTTCTATAGGGTTACTACAATCTCAAATAAATATTTATTTCAGGATTAATGTTTAATTTAGTGAGAAACTATTTTTATTATATAACTAGATAAAAAAAGTTTATAAGAAAAGTTATCAAACCAAATAGAGTTCATGACTCAAGTTGTTAAGGGATCGATGTTAATCTAATATGTTGTTATCTTAATATTTTTTTTAAAAGATTTTAAAAGTTATCTTTTAAAAGTTAAGTTATGCTTTTATTGATTATTTAAGCTACCTTTGGATCTATAAAATTAATCAATTTAAGTTGGGCTAGATCCCATATAGTTTAATTGAAAATTTAAGTTAAGTAAAGAGCTTAAATGAGAGATTTTAAAATTGATTTACTTGACTAAATTTAATGACACTATAAAAAAAAACTCTTCATACTTTTAACATTCTGTTTTATATTTTTAAAAAATTAATTTGACTGAACCGACTATGAGTCAATAGATATGGGGTTGATCAAAGAAAGATGAGCTCGAGGAATTTTGTCACCACTGATGGTGAAGGTGATATACAAATGTTGATTCAAGGAGCGGTGAACTATAAAGAGAGCATGATTTCCCCAATTATCAACGATGAAACGTAATTATTAAATAGTTTTTTGAAATTCATTTGCAAATAAGAGTTATTGTAAAACTGTTTAGGTCTTCATGCATACTTTTAACTTGCAAATGCATAGCAAGCAAAGGCTCAAGGATGTTTGAGGTCTCTTGCTGGCAACAGATCACCACATTTCGTAAGTATCAAATTGGGAGTCCATTTATATCTTGCAGTGCCAAGTCTGTTTGACAATCCGAACCTCAAATAAGAAGCTGGGAGAATAGACAACAGGATGAGGTAATCAATTCGGAACTCAA